CTGTACTGACTTGCCATTTCGGATCTTTGCTATAACCGAAGAGTAATCATTTTGAATGTAGAGCAATTGTCATGTCAATGCCCCTCTTCCTTTCCTTAGGGATTTCGATCCTCCTATTGATCACCATATTTCCACATTTCCCAGTAAATTACTTGAATGCTTTATGACGAAGGGTCAAGAGAATAGAAAGAAAGGGATTTATTGCAAAGGCTTGTGTTTTAGAGGGATTTTTTTTGAAATAATAGTTTTTGTAAGAATGGCTAGCCAAGGTTGGTCGGTGTTTAGGCTAGTTTAAACAAACGTTTTGTTTTTATGAGGTGGCGTCTTCAACTGAATATTTTGGCGCCTATTTGTGATTGATTAACTTTCCTAGTCTGTCCTTTTGGGTTTTCAGCCTAGGATTTTGCCCTTTTATCTTTTTGTCTTGGTCTTTGACCTTGGCGGACTTCTTTTAATAATAATTTCTTTTCTCAAACATTGTCGAAACACGATTTTCTTATTCGTGCCTCTAGCTAATCAATCATGTTAACTTTGGCTTCATTTTGTGTATGGCGTTTTGATTATTTTGACGCAAAAACGTTTGTCTAAACAGGGTTATTTAATGGGGTATAGACATGTTTAGCAAGAAGAGAAGCAGATAGTAAGAATAACATTCTTTTGTAATTCAAAGGGAAATGCGTGCCCTAAAGATGCTCGGGGGTCGGGCACACCCCGAGGAGTGATCTCTAATAGTCATTGGGTTTACATCCCTTAAAATCGGAAGAAGGGCATTTAATGACTAATGCTACCCTTTGCGCTAATATCCTTCCTTTTTAGAATATCGTCTTTAAGGTACGGAGGGAAGACTTCTCTTTTCTTTGTATGACTTGATCTTTTGGAGGGTCGTACTTAAAAGGATTATCCTTAAATCTGATGGCTCTCTTATTCTGTGAGTATCCTTTTTCCAACAATCTTTGCATGTCTGGGGAAATGGTCCCCTCCTCACTGTCTGACTCAATCCATTCGCCTTCGGCTTTTAGATCCCGCAGAGAGTTTTCAATCACAGACATGACTGTTTATATGGTCCTTATTTGGGTCTAGATTTTATTCAGTTATTTTGGAATGAGAGAGAAAAGAATGAGAAGCTTATGAATATTATGAAAAATGCCTTATTGTATTGACAGATGCAAATATTTACAAAGCCCACTTTAATCAAAAATCTCGTGATCATGGGCGGGGATCACGAGAGATACATCGGAAGCTTTTTTATTTATTTATACTTTTTAATGAGGAGCCCTAATCAGCTGGTCTTCTCTACCCAGGCTCACTGTTCTGGTTGTGATAGAGGCTTATCATCCACCTAAGGGTCGGGAGCATCGAAAGTAATCTGCCCGGCATTCAATAATTCTTGAACCCTATATTTTAAGTTGATGCAATCTTCCACGGAATGCCCGGGAGCGCCTGAGTGGTAATCACATTTTTCATTGAGCTTGTACCAACCGGGGTAAGGTGGATCTTTCTTCTTCAGAGGGATACGTGTTAGGAGTTTGGCCTCTAACAGCTTTGGCAGCAGATTCCCATAAGAGGTTGGAATGGGAGTGAATTTCTTCTCTTGTCTGCGTGATTGCCCAACTGGTGGCGAAGAGGGAGGAGGAGTAGCAAGGTTGATGGCATTTACGCTTCCTTCCCTTTTTTGGCTAAAGGACTTGTTGAATGATGCGTTAGAAGAGGAAGGTTGTGCAATCCTTCCGCTCTTCAGTCCTTGCTCTATTCTTTCTCCTATAATGACTACATCCGCAAAGAGTGTTGATGTATTCCCTATCATTTTGTCGTAATAAGGACCAGTCAGCGAATTGATGAACATGGATGTAGTTTCCTTGTCGGATAGAGGAGGTTCCACTTGTGCTGCCAATTCCCTCCATCTTTGGGCATATGCTTTGAAGGATTCGTCGTTTCTCTTGCTTAATAATTGTAGATCTGCTCTTTCAGGGGTGATATCAATATTGTATTTATAACGACGAAGAAAAGCATCTGCCAGATGTCTCCAGGTTTGGATTTGCCCTCCTTCCAGTTGCATATACCAATTTAGGGCTGATTCAGCTAAGCTTTCCTGAAAGCAGTGGATCAGGAGTTTTTCATTATCAGCATGTGCAGCCATCTTACGACAGTACATAGTAAGATGGCTTCTTGGGCAGGTCGTTCCCATGTATTTCGGGAAGTCCGGAGTTTTGAACTTGTTAGGGAATTGGATATTTTTGACGAGGCACATATCAGCCGCTTCTTTGACATCAAAATTATGCCCTTCCATGGCTCTTAATCTCTCTTCAAGAGCAGTGATTTGTTGTTTTGATACTTCAGGAGCATGAATATGTATTGTTCTTGTGTCAGATTGATCGTGCTCATTTTGAGGTTCCTCTTCTTCTTCTTGGTGAGAGGCTTGTCCATTCTGAGGACCCTCTTGATGAAGATTCTGTTGATGCATCATTTCTAACATTTGAGCCATTTGATCTTTCAGCGTATTAAGCTCAGCGGTGAACTTTCGGTTTTGCTCCTCTAACTGCTCCATCCTTTTAGCTTTCTGAGCACGAGTGAGGACGGGAAGAAGACCAGCCACTTTCTAAATGATTTTAACAATTTTATTATAGTTTTTTAAATGATTGGTGTATCCTAGAATGAATGTGTTTATGTATGCACTACAAAAATATTTTTTTTTATGACAGCAGATATTGAAAGTGGCGTAACTTTTGACTGGGTTGTCCGATTTGGACGCACAGCATGTCAAAACGAAGAGAAAAGGATGAAGAACCAAGCTGCAAATTGCCGTAGGCGATTTGGCCCAGTAATTTTCCCAAAAAACGCTCCTAAGACCCATTTTTTGGAGGTTTATTAAAATGATGAGCATGCTGCAATTATTTTCTCTCTTAGTTTTACCACTTATAGGATGATATGGTATGAATGATACGACTTTGCCAAGAATCTTTTTATGGTAAAAGATATTTTTATTGCTTTAATTGTTTTTATATTTTTATGATTTTTAGGTTTTTTTATTTTTTTTTGTTTGTTGTATGATTACCTTATGCTAATGCATTAATACAAATGCAGCAAACGTATGCACACACAATTCATACATCCACGAGCAGAGCCACGCTTATTTAATCACGAGGTAGGGTTTTCCTGCAGAAACGTGCTTGGTTTGGGTGGTTCTAACTGTTCTCACCAGGCCAAAGGTCCCCAAGGTGCCCCCATTATAGGGACCTCTCAACTCTCAATCCTCGGGTCATGCACGGAACTCCGTGTCGACACCCTTAGACCAAAAGAAGAGAGTTATCACCTTGAGTTGGTGGTTTTCCGACAACGGTAGTAGCCCCGTGTGCCAACTAACCGATCGTATCTGCCACCCACTCCCTATTGATATTCACTCTTGCCCCCGGGTATAGAGGGACTGTTGTGTGCGAGGGTTTTTGTGTGCAATTTATATTTCAAACAATTGCAGAAATAATAATACAGCAGTTATTTAAAGCCATACAATAAAAACATACAGAAGGGTAAAGGCATAATTTCAAATCTTTACTTAGTTTGAATTGATCTGTCACTAAATGGGATCAACTCTCTAGCTTCCCCAGTGGAGTCGCCATCTGTCGCCGCCGTCCCTTTCCGACGTCCCGGGGAGGGAACGTCTTTGAGACGTTAATGCGAGCGGTCGCGAAAAGATGGTTTAGACTCGCGTTTTTATTTTAAAAGGATTTCGAAAAAAGGGGTTCTTATGGAGTCGCCACCAATGTTTTGACCTTAAACATTGGAAAAGGAAAAATATTAATTTTAAGAAAAACCGCACTTGGCCATTATAACCAGAGTTGGGTAAGGGAGTTAGTTACGTGTGGGGAAGGTATTAGCACCCCACAACGCCCCTTTCGGGTTCCCTATGACAGATTAATTCATTTAAAGAAAAGACTTTGAGAAATTACGCGATTACCCTATTTTATTGCATAATATTGAAATGGCTATTTACATAATTTTAAATAAAACTAAATAAAGCAATAGAAGGAATATTAAAATGACTATCTACATGATTTTATTCTATATGACGCAATAAATAAAATAAAACAATAAATAAAGCAATAAAAGAGAAGAGAATTGAAAAGAACCTCCGTAGCAAGCTTTATATTGAGAATCTCGAACCGTGAGGATGCGTTTTGGCAACCCCTCTTTCTACACAAGACTCTCCTCACCAATATAAGAACGACTCTCCTAAAAATTTAAAGAAGAATCAAATGCCGGAATATAACTCCTTAACCGATTGTTACCTATTTAAGGCAATCGGAAAGATCATTTGAGAGAGGGAGAGAAGTAGACGAGTGCTCTAAAGTGTTTCGGAGCTCTCCGGAGTGTCCGTGGTGTCCGGGGTGTCGAAGTGTGACAAATGAGCCTCCTATTTATAGTTTTTCGCAGCTGGCGCACTTTGGGACGGCCATCCGGGTGGGACGGCCGTCTGGACTCGGGACGGCCGTCCCAAATGGCATTTTTACACGGAGCGGGACCCCCGGGAGGCCGGGACGGCCGTCCCACTTAAAACGGGTTTGGGACGGCCGTCCCACATTTGGGACGGGCGTCCCAACTGCTAATTGCAGTTGGGACGGCCGTCCCACTTTGGGACCGTGGTCCCGGCCTGTTTTGTCCAGTTTTCGTGTTCTGGGACCCCGGGAAGCTTTCCTTTCCTTTTTCGGACGTAGATTGATGCCGATGTGTGTCCATTGAAGCTTTATCTTCATGAGGGAAGTCTTCTTGGCCTTCACTAAGATGCCGGGCGAGCTTTATCTTTGTGTAGGAAGTCTCTTTTGGCTTTTATTGTGTGAATGAGTGAACTCCGTCTTCTGTTATGGGAGGTCCTTCTCGGTTTTGGGAAGCTGGATGAACTCCATCTTCGGGCGAAGTTCCTCTAGCTTTTATTTTGAGAGGCCGGGCAAAATTAGGGGTCTACATGACTCTATTGGCTACAAACTTTAAACTATACCTTTTTCTAAATGAATGTTCTTTTGATGCAGTCAGCGGAGTTGCACATATATACTGATTTCTTGAGGCTTGTACTAGAAATTATAAATGCAATTCTGACTTATGCATTGCCTCGAAATCCAGAGGTACAATGTAATGTTCCACTTGATTAATTCCAGAGTAAACATATACAAACCAAATTTTATCTGTTTCCCAATAATCAAAAACTATATTTGCATTGTGACCTTGACATCTTGCATTTGTGACTGGAACAGGTGGTGTATGCAATAATGCACAAGCAGGATGTCTTTCAGCCTTTCAAGAACCACCCCCGTTTCAATGAGCTCATTGAAAACATCTATACTGTACGTTTTATGTATTTCCTTCTAATCATATATATACATTTTCTCTTTAAAATCTTGTAACTTTAAAGGAACATATTTCATTGTTTATGGTAACATTTGTGAACATTGCTTTTGTATAATACATCATGTTTGAAGAGTGTTCAAGTAATGTTATCTATTTGATATTTGCAGGTGTTAGATTTTTTTAACAGCCGCATTGATGCCCAAAGAATGGAAGGTGAGTGGTCAGTCGATGAAGTGCTCCAGGTGGTAATTGAACACTGTAGGTCTTGGCGCGTTGATGGGATGAAGGTAAAATTAAAATATCGTGTGATTTGTGGTTTACTGATGATTACTTAAGACTGTATCTTGTTTGGCAGATGTTTACTCAACTGCACTTCACATATGAACAAGAGAGTCACCCAGAGGAGTTTTTCATCCCATATGTCTGGCAACTAGTACTATCCAGATGGTATGGAGATTCTTACCCACATACCTCATGATGACTATTTGCAACTTTTTTTCTCTTCTTATAGTTCGAACTTTGTTGGCCTCGGAAAATCATAATATCATCAAGGGGGTTTATCAATTTCATCATCTTTTTTTTACTGCAACTTTTGTTGATTCCCTCTTGAAATGGTATTTTTGCTTTGTGCATGTTTCTGATTTGAAAATTCTGTCATATTCAGTGGAATCGAATTCAATGCACCAGCTATAAACTTGTTTCCAGCTGATCTACCTACCGAAGTATGTATCTGAATCTCCATTTTATATTTATATGTTTTTTTGTATAAGCCCTATTATATATTTGTATACCGCATGTTCCTGTTATCACATAACACAGCTGACTTTTTCTTAAGTATTTTTGTTCTTCAATCCTTCCTTGTATCTAAATATGTTTGTTGTTGCCGCTGCTTATCTATTGTTTCTATGATGGAATGGATACTAGTACTACTACATTAAGATAGGTTTTTCCCGATAAAAAACACTAGCTTAAAAGTTTAACTCATCATCCCTTTCTTTTCATGTTTGAAATGAAACTTAGCTGTTGTCTTATGATCAGATTTTCTTGGGTCATTTTAAATACAACTTTCAAAATACTAGAGGTATAAAAATAAAGTAGAATTCGTTTGGCAATTTTCATCAAATTTTTTATCCTATTTGTCCTTTTATTTGGATCATTGTCTTGAATGAGAAAATTCACTGTGTTTCAGAAACTTGACAATGAGGAGGTGGGAAATACATCCCATAACAGTGACTTTCACTAGCCTGAGTATCAGCTTGATCCGTTGCCAAGTACTCCAATTCTGTTTGTGAATATTTATTTGTACAGATAATAGTTGCAAAAATGTAATGTTCTCATTCTTTTCTGTTCATAACTTTTGAGTGTAATGGTTCATTCCTGAAGATGAAAAATGATTTGAGAATTCATGTAATGAATAAGTGATGATGCTAACATGCCATCCATGAAGTTTATACAAGTGTGCCATCACTTGCACCTCATGTTATGGTTTAGTGGTAGATTTATAATAAAGGCAAATCTTCTTGGTAGATCAAGATTGATTTTTATCGAACACAATGCTTCTGCTGATGATTTTAGATTGTAACACACAGCACAGTGGTATGGTATCTGTCAATCAGTTTTTCTTTTGGTAATGCATGTTTAACCATGCTTATGAAGACTAAATTATATTTTAAAGTAATATCATGGGTGTTGTTGATACGGTTATCAAATTAAAATTAAAGTTTCATTTGGATAAAAAATCATCAAAATATGTTAAAAATTGTGAACAAGTGAAATTTTTTAGTTGATAAAAGAACAAAACGTAATTATAGCACATTTTAAATAGTTTCAGTATGAAATTTGCGTCTGTTGAACATATATAGAAGATTAATTAATTCTTTATTTGTAAGATTGATTTAATTTATTTATTTTCAAAAAAGAGAAAATATCATTAACAATGGAAATTCTTCTGAGAAATAACGGCTGAAAACAAAAAGGGTTCATAATAAAATTATATTTTATATATTAGTTATAATATTCTAAGTGATTTAAATGATAACTATTATTATGAAATGATTATTAAAAACAAAATTCATAAAACGTATAAAATTATATACATAAATTAATATCATTAAACAGTTATTGAGATTAAAATTTATAAAAAAGAACAGTTACAAAATTAATAGAAAAATAATTATATAACATACTAAAATGAGAAAGAAATGTAAAAGAAAGAAAAAAAGGTTATATAACCAATTATTTTATTAGGAAAGATTTGTATGTTTGACTGTATTATTTGTATGCATCATTGCGTTGATTATTGTTTCTGATGATGAATATCATAATTAAAAAAAGGGTGGGGAAAGAGAAATAAAATCTTGGTTGGTGTTCCATCAATTCAACAACACACACAATGCTTGCAGTTTTTGACAAATCTGTGGCCAAATGTCCAGAGGGTCTGCAGAGCCCTCAATCCAACTCAGTTTCAGCACTCAAAGATGCTTTTCTGGCTCAACACTTTACCTCTGTTCACCCTGCTTCTGTCACCCTCAATCTTTCCTCCTCTGCTCTCGTGGCCTATGCTCCTAACAAACACAATCCTTTACTCCCAAGGTACAGTGCAACACTCCATTTCTCAGTTTTGCTCATTGTTTCTGAAAATGGACCCATTCTTCTTCCTCTTCTTCTTCTTCTACCCAGTTGACATCATATCACTTCTATTTTATTATTTATTTTATCTGGGTAACTTTGAAGGGATCAAAGATGGAACCTTTTGGATAAATCCCAACTGTTCTTTCTTCCCACCCATGTGATCCCTGTGTGTTTGACCATTGAATCACTCTCTTTTTGATGTTTTTATTTTTATTTTTTTAATTTATCAAATTTGGAACCTTTGTTATGATTCTATTCACCTTTTACAATAAGACCTTGTTGTTGCTGCTGCTGATTTTATTATTTTCTTTTGCCTTAATTTTGATATGTGACGATGAAAGCTTATATTTTAAGCTTCACACTTGTTGAGATGAGGGGCGTATTGGGTAGTTCTTATGCTTTTGTAGAGGTGAATGGGAATTTTCTGGAATAGAATTAGTACCTTTCACAGTTTTTTTTTTCCTTACAATCACCTGTTTGAACCTTATTAGAAGTTTCCTTGACCAAACCTTAGGAGTTTTCCAGTTTATGATGGTCTAAGTTTTCAGAAGTGCCACTGTATAAAGTGTTTAAGATATGCGTACTTGTATTTTTTTTATAGTAATCTGTCACTTTCCAACTTTTTTTCTGTTTGTTGCATATTGATAGTATGCAAATTGTGCTTTTTGGTTCTGTTTTGATTTGTCTTGTTTCTAATGATGACCAGAATATAGGGCATAAAGATATTTAGCATATCATACAGGTCATCCTTGAAAGTTGTTTTGGTGTGTTAAATAATGCTTCTCTTTTGTTGATTTTTTTCTCAGATCTTAGTGCATAACTTTGTCTTTTGTCAATTGTCTGTGAATGCAATGTGTAATCTTTTTGCAGAGTAATTTATGAATATTTCAACCACGAACTTCATCTTTTTATGCTGCTTCTTGTCACTGTAACCTAACGAGATTGAAAAGATTCACATAACAAGGTTAAGTTTCTGCTTGGAACAATACTCGCCTAATATTTTCCTTCTGATGTCACACCTAATCTTCTTTGATCTACATCAAATACCTTGTTACCAGAATCTTTTTGAATCAGATCGTTAAAAAGTGATTACATAAAAGATAGTCAAATAAAGTTACCAAAATTCCTTTTCCATGTTGCTAGGCTATTTGCAGTTGTGGATGACATCTTCTGCTTGTTTCAAGGCCACATTGAGAATGTTGCCAATCTTAAGCAACAATATGGATTGAACAAAACAGCAAATGAGGCGATCATTGTCATTGAGGCTTACAGAACTCTAAGAGACCGCGGTCCTTATCCGGCTGACCAGGTTGTGAGAGATTTCCATGGAAAATTTGCATTTATCCTGTTTGACAGTGGTTCCAAAACTGCATTTGTTGCTGCTGTGAGTAATCCTTTGACAAATCTTTTACTTCTCTGTTGCATTTGCCAGTAATTTGGTGCTCTAACTTAGCATACATGTCCTGGTCCGTTTCAGGATGCTGATGGGAGTGTTCCCTTCTTATGGGGAACTGATGCTGATGGAAATCTTGTTCTTTCAGATGATCCAGATATTTTAAGTAAAAGCTGTGGGAAATCTTCTGCACCATTCCCTAAAGGTATTAACATGATTAAATTACCCCTTCATTGAAGAAAAAGTTTTAGTGTGGTAAGGTAGACGAATCCCTAGGGCTGTGTTGAACACTTCTTGTCATGAATTAGTCTGCATCCAACCCCAAAAACATCCCAATTGTTTCAATTATCTTTTTGGAGACCTCATTTAAAAAAAATTAATGTGTTATCGTAAGAGCATCTCCTATGTGTACTTAAGGTAAAGGTTCTTTACTCACTTTTAATGATAATTCTTTCATATTATACTCATGTTTTCATATTATTTGGGTCAAATGGTTTGCTTGATGAAGTATCATCCATGTGTCTGCATGTTTAGGATGCTTCTTTACAACATCTGGAGGTTTGAGGAGTTTTGAGCATCCGCTAAACGAGCTGAAGCCTGTACCAAGGGTTGACAGTTCTGGTCAGGTGTGTGGTGCAACTTTCAAGGTGGATGCTGAAACTAAGAAGGAAACAGTTGGCATGCCAAGAGTTGGGAGTGCTGCTAACTGGTCTTCTAATTACTGATTGCAGCTACATTTTGTTTGAACTTAGGCCTTTTATGTAGCTGCACTCAGTTTAATTTTCCAACTTTATGCATCATCTATTGCATGCTTATGACAGCTTTGAGGCTCTACTGAGTAGTAATGAGTTCTAAGTTCTGTCATGTTCGTTACTTGCTATTTCTGAGGAGAGATTTGAGTTCATGAACCTACACAGTTGCTTGCAATCAATGTTGAGTGTTTACTTCCTTGGCACATATCATGTAATAACATCAAATTGCATTCTGTTTTTTCCTAGAATGTGGGTTGTTTGCTGTCTTTCTTTGATCTCATTTACTTTTGGTTTGCTGTTGTGGTACATTAACTGATGATGTGTTAGAGGGTCTGATTGGAGGAAACATCTTCTTAACCACTTATACAAAAATAAGAAAATTTTACATTAACTTCTCTATAAGTTAAAAACTATATTTTGGAGAATCTGATAGGAAATAATTTTTCAAATAGTTTATGTATAAACTAACTTTAACTTATGAAAAAGCTTTTTTTTTTTTTTAAATATTTATGGAGAAATTTTTTCCATAAATACTAATTATGTCAAAGAATGGTTCTTTCACTTACTAAAGTGAGTGCTTATATGGGGGGTTTTAAAGGATCAATCTGTTCATTCTTAAAAGCTATGGGGTGATGCCTCCATCTTCATATATTTTGTTGATTCGGACAAGAAAAGTAATTTTTTAATGATAGGAACTGCGTTCTTGTAATAACTTGGTTCTTATATAAGAATTTATTCGACACTTGACAGTCATGTCAAGAAGTTCCAATGGTGAAATTTCATAAAAACTAATTTTTATTTTTCTAAGAACCTCTAACAACCACTCACTGGATCATATAGTCAAAATTGTTGGAAATTTTCATAAGACTTGAATCTTCTAGAATGGAAGATGTTGTATATTAAAAGGAAAGCTTAAGAATTTTATTTTTTTGGTATGGTGGAAGGAAAATAAGAGGTGAGAAAAGTTTGGAACTTGAATTGAAAAAAAAAATGAAAACAAGAAAAAAAATTGAAACTTTTGTTACTAAAAGTAAAACGCAAGTTTTCTCATTCTCGTTTTTTTATTTTTATTTTTCTCAATTAAACAGAAAAAAATAAGTAATCATTTATCCGGGTATACTTAATGAGTGAGATATTGGATAGATTAATATAGAGTTAGTTTGGATAATTTTTTTCAGAAAAATAATTAGAAAAAAAAGAATTAGAAGAATAAAATTGGTTACATGATTCTTCTAGTTTAAGAAGTTTGAGTTCAAGTCATGATGTTACTTAGGATTGGCAATAGTTTGGTTGAAGAGAGAGAATTGAACCAAGCTGAAAGATACTGGAAGATCAAATTAAACCATTTAATTTCAATCCCCAACTGTAGTGTTTAGTCAACCATTTTTATTTTAAAAAGCTAATCTGTCACATGTTCAAGAACTTTATTTTTCTTTTTCAGAAATGGTTTTAGAACAAACTTAAAAAAAGGAAATCGAACTGTTACATATAAACAAAACTTTTATAACTGACTTCACCTACTTTTGAAATAAAGTAACAAATAAATAAATAAATGTAAATCTATCAAACTTTACCGCCTCAAGATAAGATAAAGATAAGTATGTAATTTTAAGATAAGAAAGAGCCAAAGATCTTCATTGCAGATTTTAAAATGCATCGTATCAAAATGTGGAACCGAGAACATGAATATATGAGATACATTGACATTTATATTTATTATCATATTGATTCCATGAAAAAATAAACATTATAAATATATTTCATATGATTAGAAGAGGCAATTTAGTTTGTCTATGAATCAGAAATTATAAAATTATAAGGATTTGATTAAAATTTACAAAAAATAATGCATCCATCTCTTTGGTGCTGTTTATATCTACCATCCTTCACTTATTTCTTTCCCAGTTCCCACATTCACTTATTTTACCTTCAAATCATTTTCCTTTTATCTTACTAAAATTACAATGCATGTTTTCTGTCTAATTCCCACTTAAGCGAAAACCCTTTAGTTCCAATGTTTATCATAGAAGCTCAACTTTTGAGTTAATCTCTTTTCTTGATTCCCCAATCAAAACTATACTATTCACACAAGATATTTGTTAGGGATAAATTTTCTACGTCTCCAGTAAACACATCCAATATTAGATTAAACATGCAAGGACACTAGGATGAGCTCAAATGTCATTCTAACTAGAAATTCCTTAGTTTTGTCTCCAGAAGTTCTCGCACTAGTTACCCTACCATATGCCTTGTACAGGTAAAACATACGTCATGCCAATTCCTTTCTTTTCAAATTCCAGACACTTATCTTGGCATTCGATAATATGTTTCTTTCAAGTTAATGAAAACCATATTTATGAAGGAAGAGATTTGGGTGGAAGCTTTGATCATCACCAAGCTGCCCAAGATGTACTTTAGGATTCTCTTCATCTGCAAAATAGATGTTAAATATTAAATTTCATCCAATAAATGAATTCAAACAACGTACGATTGAACCATTTAGCTGGGTTGCTCACCATGCACCACAACGATGGCCTCATACCATTAAGTAAGGTCCGCTACATAGATTAGATGATGCCACCAGACTTGGTAAAAGACCCAATTCTAATGAATATTATTAGCAGATCTCTTTTAATAATTTTCTCCAGTGTCTCTTTTGGTCTCCATTTACCCTTATTCGTTGGGGTAAAATCCGCGAGCACATTAAAAAATTTCTGGAGGTTTTTCTTCAACAGAACCATGAAAACGCTTGCAGGAGCAGTGAATATAAAGCAGCAGCAGCAACTTCTCTAGCTGTAGCCCCAATGACATTAATATTGCCTGCAATTAAAAATATAAATGAATGTTGAAATATAAATTACTTTTATATTCATATTAACTGGAAAATACATATACATAAGATACAAACGTAAAACAAAACAGATTCTTGAACCCATTATAATATGGGTCTATTTGGAGGAAACTTCTCTATAAACATTTATAGAAAAGAAAAAGTAAGAATAAAAATTATATTAATTTCTTCTTAAGTTAAAATTAGTTTATGTATAAACTAATTAGTAGAAACTATGTCTTATTAATTTCTCTAAAAACTTAATTTTTAACTCATGCATAATTTTAGCTTATAAAGAAGTTCGTTTCATTTTTCCTTCTTATTTCACTTCCTAGATGTGCTTATGCAGAAGTTTCTCCAGACATGTACTATGTAACAAAGGACTTTCCGTTCCTATTCTGAAGGGTCAATGAAGAATTTAATCTTTAAACCTGAGCAAAACAATCTTCGGCCGAGAAAAATCTGTACAGAACCCATCATTTTGAGTGAAAAGCACAACATCCATGGCGAACCCATAACTAGAGCCAATTAATTAATAATAATAGTGATTATAATAAAGGGAAAATATGATGGCAGACGCTTCAGATTTGCCTAAGAAAACACGTCACATTTATAAATAACATTGCTTAAGCTCCAAATCAGCAATAAATATTACCTGGATTTGAAATTGAAGATAGTGGGAAAAAAGGGTGACGTTCAAAATGGATGAGCTCTGGACCAGGTGCCCTACTGACTGGCTGATGTGGATCCCGTTGTTTGCAAAACTGCAAGCAGGCTTTCCATTCAGTAAACGTTTATAAATCAGAATCAGTGAATGCAAGGAGATGTATGTTGCAATCAAGGAAGGCCTAGCAAATGTCAAAGAAATATACATCAAAGAATCTTTCACCTTTCCCATGTTTCCTAAAAGTTGTTCTTTTTAATGAATTTAGGAAAAGTGCACAGATATTACGTATTTTAAAAGAAAAAAATAATTTAAATTTGAAATAATAGAATACAGCATATTATCTAGTCCAACATGACATGAGACCCAGAGGTAACGAGAATTGGAGAACCATAAAAGTTGATTAAATTGAAACTAAAACTTCTGACCTTCTTTTCCAGGCATCTAGTGACCATTTCTCAAAAAAGCTTCTCAGCTTCATCATTCCCACATTTTTCTCCAAAGGAGATGCATAACTGACTCAAAGATTGTGGAAGAAGGGGGCAGATCATTTCTTTCCATAAAAGTGAGGCCTGTCTTTATTCTAACAATCCACCTTTACAAAGCTCATTGATTATATATGTTTGGACATCTGGATGATAGCCTCTAATGAAAAGATACTGGGAAATCTTCTGTGCAGTCTTCGGCCTCCCACCTTTGTGCAATCCATTTATAAGTATATTGTATGTGAGCAAATTTGGACTAATACCTTGATAAACAATCTGATATTTTAATAATGCAATTGCCATGTCAAGTTTCTGCCCGTTGCATAAAGCCTCTAACAAGATATTGTAGGTTACAATATCTGGAACCAAATTCTTGAAACACATTTGATTAAAAAGATTCATGGCTTCATCCAATCTTCTATTCTTACAACAACCACTAATCAAGATGTTGTAACTCCAAACATTAGGGGCAAAACTTCTTTCAAAGATGAGGTGTTTAAAATATGCAATTGCCTTGTCAACATTCTCAATTCTACATAGGGATTCTAACAAGATATTGTAAGTGGTTACATCTGGAGGTGGTTGGCCACAATATTGCATTTCATCAACAAGCTTCCATGCATCATCAATTCCCCCAGATTTGCATAAGCCATCAACTAGAGAATTGTAAGTTATAATATTTGGGAATAAATTCTTAAGAAACATATGTTCAAGTAAATCCATAGCCTCGTCCACTCTTTCAATCTTGCAATAACCTTTAATCAAGATGTTATAGCTCCAAACATCAGGCATCAAACCCCTTTCAATCATCCCATGAAATAATTCTCTTGCCTTATCCACTTTATCAATCAAACAATATCCATGCATCAAAATAGTATAAGTAATAATGTCGGGTTGTTCACCTTTTTCAATCATCCTATGAAATAATTTCCTTGCCTCACCCACTTTATTGTTTAAACAATATCCATTTATCAAAATATTGTAATTAATAATGTCATGCTGTTCACCTCTTTCAATCATCAAATTAAATAATTCTCTTGCCTCATCCACTTTATTGTTTAAACAATACCCATTCAGCAAAGATGTAACTTCTTTCCGTTGGCCTGCACGACACAAACCATAAATTAATGAACTATAAGTGAAAATGTCGGGGAAAATTCCATGAACAATCATTTTAGAACACAAAACACGTGCCTCATTTATATGTCCATCTTTGCATAAACCATGGACAACGGTATTGTACATTACAAGATTGGGCTTAACCAACTGTCCCTCCATCTTTTGAAGCAGTTGAATGGCAGCTCTTGTTTTGCTCATCTTACTCTTACATAGCCCATTGATTAAGGTTCCATAGAGAACATCATCAAACCAAATCCTTCGTTCAACCATTTCATTGTAAATGTATAGTGCATCCATCATTTTATCATTAGCACAGAACCCCTTCATCAGCGTAGTAAAAGTCACAACATTTGGTTGACAACCCCACTTAAGAATCTTACCCATTACTGAGAAAGCAAAATCCATCCGACCCATGTGGCAGAAACAGTTTATCAAAATGTTAAAAGTAACTGTAAACGGTACAACACCCTTATATTCCATTAGGGTATATAGATTAATAGCTGTGGCATAGTATCTCATCTTCACAATCATCCCTAAGATTTTGGTGAATTCCACAATCGATGGCAGGGGATGCATATCAACCATGCTGCGAAACAAAGCCACGGCATCATCAATACCATCAAATCTGCAAGTGCTTTGTGATGGCAACGGCTGCGAATGAAGATGTATCCTCCTCACATGTGACATAAGAAGGCGAGGAAGTTTCAGGAATTGCATTCCTTGCAGTATCCCACATGTGCTCTACTCTTAACTGAACACACTATGCTTACTCTAAATTTCTCAGTCCTGCCCCATGTCCTGCCAACTTTAACAACAAAATAGTAGAACTACATGGAAGAATGAAAACCTCTACCTTTTTCATAAACTCTTTCTTTTCTGCATTAAAACACTAAAAAAATGTAAATTAACACACGATGAATGTTTGTCAACAAATAATCACAAATAAAAAAAAAAGTAAGTTAACACAAGAAATGGGCATTTTCCAAAAAAAATTCTCAAAAATACTAACTATAAGAAAAGGAAACAACATAGACAGGTATCAAAGAGAAACATTTTGACAAACAGATAGAGTGCATACAGACACATACATATTGAAAAACTATTCTTATTTGAATAAAGAGAGTGAGTTGACTATATAGATGTAATGTAAAATGACTGAGTCATAGCTACAAATTGAACCAAGTTGAGGGAATATAATATAATATGATAAGAGTGCAGAGAGTAAAAAAAGGAGATAGTGGAAACATGATTCAAAGGGTTACCTGAGAGGGAAAGACGTGAACTCGAGTGTGGGAGAAAGTGTGGCGAGAGTTGTTTATGTTTCTTCCGGTCGCAGGGACAGTGGGGTGGTGGTGGTGGTGATGCCGTCAACATGAAAGAAAACAGCATGACTTCACGTTAGGTATTCTTCTGTTTAAATTTTCTTCACACCATGCTTTCGAAACCAAAACTGAAAAAAAGAAAAGAAAAAAAAAGGTGTAAACAGAAATTTATAAATATAATATTTAACACCAAAATTTAAAAATTGAAAATATATATTTAAGTTTGATCCAGTCATTAAACATATTGTATGGTAAACAATTTATTTAACAATGATTCTATATTAAATTGTATATTTGTTAAAGAAATTATAATATTTATCTAAAATTAAATAAATCTTGATACATTTAAAATTATAAACATCTCTAAATATTTTTTCAATATTTTTATATTCAAAAATTAATTAATATACAAATTTGATCTTGAAAAATTTATTACCCTATTTTATTATCTTAGATATCAAAATCTAAGTTAAATAGTGGTATTATAATATTTATAATACAACTATTTAACAAATATAGAAAATATGTACATGTGTAATGAAGTTATTTATAATATATATATATATAATTGGTAATTATTTTTAGTAAAATTGTTTATAATTATTTTTGTAATTTTTTATTAATAAATAGGAGAAAGATAACATGAAAAAAACAATTCTTCTGATAATATAATATTAGAGCATATTCAACTGAGGTATTAGAATGTTCCTTAATAAAAAAAATTGCATCTTATAAATTATATTAAAATTAATGACCATAAATTTTAACGATGTTACTCCATAAAAAAATATAAGAAACAAATAAATAAAAACTATGTCACATAGAAATTGTTGCCTATACATTATCAATTACCTTTTAGACCAACTTCTCCACTCACATTTATTAAAATTAAATAAATTTAAAAATTTTGTGATGTTAGGAGGAGAATAGGAACAAACTAACATTTGTATTTTTTTTTATTTGTTTTCAAAATAAAAATAATATTAGAATAATGAAGTATATATTTGTTTAAATATTTTTTAATTTATATAAAATTAGTTTACTTTTCATTTTGTTCTTATAATTTTTTAAAAAGAAATTAATTTTATGAAAAAAAGTGGAAGGCACGTGTAAATGAATAGAGAGAGAAGAAGAATGGAAACGTGTTGGTTTGTATGATGCAGAGATTGCTTTAACCTTTTTTCTTTCTACCCTCCCTCTTTCTTATTCAATTCAAATTATATTTTAAATTTAAAATAGATATGGTAATAAAAATGTGTTATATAATACAATAATTGTTTTATAATAAGTAGACTTTTTTTATCATCTTATAAAAAAAATTACTCAGTGAAATATATTAAATTTTATTAATTTAATTTGTTTTTTTTTTCCTTCATCATTTCTTAGATAATATTATTTGTTAATATTTTTAACGTCTCACAAACAATTAATTTTTTAAAAGCTTTTATATATAGAAGATGAGAAATACCGAATAAATAAAAACACTAAGTCTACTTCATGATAAGAAATAAATTATTTGTAAGAAAAAACATTATTGTCATAATTAAATTCATTATAACTAATTTTTATTTAACATAATAATACATCCTATTTTCCAAAATATAATATATACAACTTCATTATATTAAAAATTAAACTTCCTTTTATATTATCATAAATAAATTATTTATGATAATATAACTATAATTGATATTAATGTAAATTATCATAATATTATACTTTTAATTAAAAAAAATGTATTTTCCAACATATTGATACAACCTGATGAAGTCAATTTCATGTTGGGGTTTATTATTATTATTATTATTATTAAATATAATAAATTATGCATAATAAAAATAAATAATAAAATTATTATATATAAATTATTTAATCTAGTATATTAAATCTAAACGTTTATTTTATCTTAATCGTTAAATTTAAAAAAAGTATTTATCAATTATATTTTTTTATATTGATTAAAAATGATATTGTATATTATTGAGTCTTCAAAACGACGTAAAATAAGGACGTTAATTGTTGTGAAGAAGGAGAAAGAAGTTTCACCCTAAATCGCTCTCAGAGATAGAGTCACTTGAAACAACCCATTTCACCGTTGTCTTCATGTGGAAGAACACGCGCGACAGATGTCAGCCACCCTCCACACCAACACCCACCCTGACAACCCCATCACCACCCTGCAACAACCCATATAAATCAAATGTTTTGCTTCATTCAATCTACAGAAGAAGATCCTAAACTTATGGGATACTGCATGCGCGTGAGAGAGAGAGAGAGAAGACGGTGAATTTTGCATTTGCATGTTGACGCAATGAGATCGAAGCCATGCAAAATGGTCCCCCCCATGAACGTGTTCCTCTTCTTCTTCTTCACTGCTTAATTTCCTTCAACAGACGCAGAGATAGAGTGTGAGTGTTGGAAGGGACCCCCCACTTCCCCAACCCAAACCCCATTAATGCTCCTTGCAATATCTGCATACAAAACACTCCCTATCCTCTCCACAAAAATGCATGGTGCATTGTTGGGGTGACAACATTCATTTGGGACCACTTTTACCTCCTTCTATCTTCCTCTTCAACATTTTCTTTTCTTTTCACTAATCTCTTCATTCCTTTCACACTGTTCATAACTTATATATATATATATATACATAACATATGTTGAAGGAAAAAGGAGAAAAACAAGTTGAGCTTTTCAAGACTTGCTTTGCTCACTCCCACTCTCCTCTCTTTTCACTCTTTCATATTGCCATGGACTTCTACTAGTTGAAGCTGCCAGCGTGATCTTAACTTTTCTCTCTCCCTTAAGAAAAGATTAGATTACGTGTTATCTTCACCTAGTTGTTGGTTGCATGAACATTTTTTTCTCTTTCATTCAACTTTTTGTCCATATATATAAAAGAAGAGATCGAGTTGTTCTACTAATTACACTTTGTTATTCTTTTTTAATTTAATGGTTTTAGCAACTAAATCAAATTTTACTTATTAAACTAAAATAAGAAAAGAAAAATATATAAATTGAAACGCATTTATGTATAAATTAAAAAAATTTACAAAAGTTATATGAAATCATTTTTACAAATTGATGTATGATCTAACTTTATATCACGAAATTTTTTTTGACTTTTTATACTTCTTTAAAAAAAAAAACTTGTGCAAACAATTCATTCATGATTTCAAGTTCATGGTGCTCCACTTAGACATTGAAATTTTCATAATATGGATTCCTTACAATTATTTTTGTTCTTATTTTTATATATTGAAAACATGTAAAATTGTTTGGAATATAAATAATGTCAAAGAATTTTTTAATAAAGATATATTTAATTAGCATTAGATCTTGAAATTTAATTATCTTTAGAAAGAAAATTGGTTAATTTTTTATTTCTTCATATTTGATATTTCCTTTTTCTTTGCCCATTTTGGTTTAGGAATTAATCCATTTTTTTTTTGTGAAACAATGTTTGTATATCCTTCAAATTTTTAGTGCTAAAGGTTTGATAAATTATCCTTTAATTTTATCTATCAATTGTTTTTAACAATCTATCAATTATTTTCGTAAGATTTCCTAGATAGGTTATAGAATTAGTTCAAAACTTATGAAAAGACTCGTGCATTTCACCAGGATAAAAAATATGAGTAGTGTATTATTTTTCCTTTAATTTGAATATTTTATTTTATTTGAATATTTTATTTTATTCGTTTACTCGTCCAGATTAATATAAAATAAAAAATTTGAATTTATAATAAATTTGTTTATTTTTACATATTTTCATCTCACTAAAAATATAATTTAATTAAATAAACGTATATTTTTTTATATGTTGTCAGCAACAATTTTATATATTTCCTTCTACAGTAACATGCAGGAGTGAACTTTTCATAATGATATATTACTTTTATATGCTTATATTACTTATATATGTGAATGATGATGGCTTTTAAGGTTATATCATGATTTAAACTATGTTTTAATTATTAAATATTTTAAGTTTTAAAATTATTGATAGGTATTTGGGCTTTTTGTTTCCCTCAATTCTTTTAAATTTATGTTTTATTTTTTTATTTATAAAATTTACAAATAGATAAATTATAACTTATAATTTATTATTAATATAGTTGTGATATACATAAATCAGAGTAGCATCCAGATAGCACAAGGGGATTGAAAATGTTCTACTATTTCAAGATCTACAATGGCCTTCAGGCAAAAATTTTCTACAATAAGGATTGATTCATGAACTTTGTTTCCGATGCCTATTTAATCTTTGAACAACTTTTGTGATGGGTGGAACTCAGAGAGTTAGCAACACTGAACTTATGTGTACCTCTCATGTCCAACCAAATCCTTGTACGAATTCTAAACTAAGCCTCTAAACTATGGAAAACATTGTTG